GCACCGGGATGAGCCGATGGACTGTAGAGAGGAGTGCTTCCAATGAAAGCAGTGAACCATTCTGTGAAGTGGAGGTCGTACGTTCCCAAATAAACCTCTCTGCCAATCCATCTGAGGGCTTTAAACGCTGCTGCTAAATCCCTCTTTTTCTGGGTGACATCTGGTCTAGCTGATGCCCAGAAATATCTGCCTGGCTTCTTCTGGAGGTGTAGCAGCCATTAAATAAGCACGCCTTCCTGCTCTTTCACCTTCCCAGCATGTGTTGTTGGTCTGTGTGCTGGGAGGAGGAGGAGGAGGAGGAGGAAGGAGCTGTGACATCCCATTCGCAGTGGCTTTGAGCTCAGCTGGTGCTGTGTGCAGTGCAGCAGCCCTGGATGCGTGCTGGGATGTCACTGCCTCATCTCTGCAGGGTTTCTGTCACCGAGTTCTGGGCTTTCAATCTGATGCTCCTGACACATTCCCCGCTTGCTCCCCATTAGGAACAGTACCTATATCTAGCTTTGGCACACACAAAAAGTGCTTTGGTCGGGACTGTGCTGTCCTAGAAGGTTTGAGAATCGATCTCCATAGAATGAAAGGCCAGAAATCACAGCCCTGCAGCCCCCTGCCTTGGGCTCACATCAGCTCAGACACGTGGGGAATCCCCTCAGCTGGCACATGGCTCCACAGCAGCACGTTGTGTCTCTGGAGCACAGAGTTACCATCTGCCTTTTAGGCTTGGTAAGGCTAGAATATCAAAAGAGAGGCAAAATCGGGCTGTTCCCTGCCAGGACTGATCAGTTCAACCCCATCAATTATCAGTCAAATCAGTGATCAGTGATCAATTCAACCCCAATGACCATTTTCCTTGTCTGGGGTCACCCTCTCCATCTTCCCTCTGCTTCTGCATCCTGTCCTTCCCCACATCCATCAACGAAAGGGGAGCTCCAGGATGGTAGGCAGAGACACAGAATGGCTTGAATGAATTGCAGGGCTGCTCTGTTACCTCGATGAGTGATGCTTGTCTGCCTGCTTCCAGGTTTCTTTATTCAGATGAAGTTCAGATCGGACCAGAGACTGTTATGACGACCCTTTACACAGCTAAAAAGTATGCAGTGCCAGCCCTGGAAGCTCACTGTGTGGAGTTCCTGAAGAAGAACCTCCGAGCAGACAACGCCTTCATGCTGCTGACACAGGTGAGGTTGCCACTGTTGGCACGAATCTGTTGGAACAGGAGAACGAGTTCAGTGAGTGTTATCATCCCAAAGGGAGCTGTTCTGTGTCAGTGTGCTTTGCAGCCTTCCTCACAGCAGCACGGTGCTGAGCAGGTTTGTAAGGAGCAGCACAGGACAGCAGTTCAGGGCAGAGGCCTTAGGGTCCTTGCAGGGGTGATGGCAGCCAAGGCTGCTTTCCCATCTGCGTCACAGCAGCGTGCTTGTACCTCCCTGGCTGTAGTGGTTGAGCTCTTCAGGTTCAGCAGCCCAGAATCTGAGAGATCAGGAGCTGTTATCCAAAAGCAGAGATCTTCCCTGCAGACCCCAGCTGTGGAGAGACATCGTGTGCTGTCCCTCAGCTTGTGGAAGCTGGAAGTGGGAACTTCTGGTGGCACAGCTGGGCTCTGGGGGCCTGGGGAGTATCTGCCACCCTGCAGCTTTGGCAAGGCAGCATGTAGGGCTGCGGTGACTTCTTTCCAAGTCTCAAAGGTCCTTCAGCTAAAGGAGGTGTCCTTGGTTTTCAGACACTGCTGGTGCTGGATGCAGACAGGCTTCCCTGCTTCCTGTTGTGCTGTGGGGTTAGTTCACAGCACAGCCATTACAGTTATCACTGTGATTCCTGCATGGTTTGCTTGCTGTGGCAGCACACCAAGTTTCCAAAAAGCTGAAGGGTGGGATTGTTGGAGATGCCCCCATCTCTGTGTTAGGCAGCACGAGGGCCTTGTCTGGAGCCAGTTACCAGGAGACAGCCAGATCTGCTCCTTGGTTTGGAAAGCCACCTTTATTTCCTGCTTCTACTGCCACAAATCTGTCAATTAAAGACCTGAGATCTGAGCGCACAGCGATTCCCAGCACACGCAGGGCTGCGGGCAGCTGGTGGAGCCTGAGAGCCCACAGCTCTGTGTTGTGTCCCTGCTGAGTGCTGCTGCTCTGACGCAGCATTTCAGGCAGCATCCGATCCCTGCCAGAAGTGCGTGGCAGGCAGCTTTTCCTGGTGCTCACAGTGAGTGAGCGGCGGTGCTCTCTTGTGCCAGAAGTGCATGCAGGTGTCATGTGCAATCAGCAAGGAAGGTAGGGGGCAGAGCTGTGTGGATGTAGTGCGTGTCCTTCCTCTCAGATATCAGCACCCCACTGCTGGCACTTCCCTGATCCATGAGAGCAGTGAGCACAGCGTTGGCTCTTCGCACACGCAGTCCCTGTGCTCTCCTGAGCCCTGCAGCCGCACATGGGGCAGGCAGGTGGACCTCAGTGTTGGCTTTGAGGTGGAATCGCAGAGCTCTGTGGCACCAGGTGTGAGGTGGAGCAGTTTCCCCTTCAGCAGGATGGAGCACTGCACACCTTGGGGTGTTCTGCTGCTGCACGGTGTCAGCCTGGCTGCGTTGCTGCACCAGGAGCCACCTCTGTGCATCCTTACAGCAAGTGGAGCAGTTGTGCAGAGCCACCTCTGAAGAACAAAAACCATGTGAGAAAATGAGCCTCGTTCAGCTGGCTGCTCATTGTGGTGCTGTGTGTAGGAGGAAACGTGTGCCTGGGGTCGTGCACAGCTGGAGCAGAGCCGTGCCCCATGCAGATCTGCGTTCTGGCCTTTGCCTTGCTGCGTTCAACGCCTGAAAGACTGCTGTGGTCAGGCACAGCAGCGCCAATGAGGATGGGGTGTGGGGAGGGGGGGAGCGCCAGCGCTTGGCATCAACTTGTAAAGAGCCCTGTGTGTTAATGAGTGCTTCTTCACGACCAGGCGAGGCTGTTTGATGAGCCTCAGCTGGCCAGCCTGTGCCTGGAGAACATCGACAAGAACACATCCGATGCCATCAACGCAGAGGGCTTCACTGACATCGACCTTGGTGAGCATGATCCCTCCCCTGCGGGCTGCCCGTGCGCTGTGCTCCTGCCCATGGACACCTGGGCTTCCATCTGCTCCGGGTCGATCTGAGGGAGGCTGCACGAAGTGGCTGCAGAGCAGAAATGCATTGGAGCTGCTGGCTTCGTGCAGCTGAATTTCTGTGGGCACCACACAGCGGCTGCGTGCTGTGCTGCCGCCGGCAGGTTTGGGCTGGGCCTAGCATGCCTTCCCCTGCTGAGCTGGCAGCGTTCCCCAGCCTTCCTCAGGCTCTGGAGTTACAGAGGTGTTGTTGTAGAAGCAAGAACTGGTTCTCTTAATTATCCTACACAGCAGCCCAGCTCGCTGTGCGCTGCTCGTAGGTGCTAACGCTCGGTCGTCAACCTTCCTTCTGAGGGGACGGCACACAGGGTGTGAGGCTGGGGGCTTTTATGCCACCCCGAGTTACACTGCAGCTCCTCCTGCTGCAGTCAGCATGCAGAACAGAGGGGCAGTGCTGGCTGTGCCCTGTGTCCCTGCAGACACGCTGGTGGCCGTGCTGGAGCGCGACACGCTGGGCATCCGGGAGGTTCGTTTGTTCGGAGCCGTGGTTCGCTGGTCGGAGGCTGAGTGTCAGAGGCAGCAGCTGCAGGTGGTGCCTGAGAACAAGAGGAAGGTGCTGGGCAAAGCGCTGGCGCTCATCCGCTTCCCACTGATGACGATTGAGGAGTTTGCAGCAGGTAACCGTCCCGGCTGTCACACCAAATTGCACTCGTTGTGAATTTCAGCTGGAGGCTGTTCTGTTATCTTTGGCTTCAGAAATTACTGTGCTTGTCCTCTTCCTCCCCCCGTCCCCCCACCCTGTGCTCTGGTGGAGGTGTCAGCGCTCTGCCAGGTGAGCTGGGTGCCTGCCTGTCCCACACTGCGCTCCAGGCTCCCTTCTGTTCACTGCTGGCCTCATCCAGCCGCTGCCACACAGAGCTCAGCCCCCACGAGGGCCGTCAGCATTCTTCCAGCTGGTGGTGCTGAGTCTCTCCCAGCACATTTCTCCTTTCTGACAAACCCTGCAAGCTTTTTCCGTCCTCTTTAACCCAAAAAATGAGCAAAAGAAACTCCAGAACACTGCACCCAAGTGGAGGTGCAGTGAGTTACCCCCGCCCCCCCCCCCCCCCCCATGCCTGCAGCACCCAGTGGCTCCGGCTCTTCCAGGCAGAGCACAGCAGAGCTCAGGGAAGGGAACCCCCAGCTCTCCTCCCAGCAGTGCTGTGTCAGCAGCTGTGGGGCCCAGAGCTGTGCGTTGCACGGGGTCATTTCAGATGTGATTAACGATGGTTCATTCTTGCTAAGCAAAATCCCCTCGCACTCATTGCTCCGTCAGCTCTGTGCCTCTGGCCGTTCCTCTGGTCCACGCAGCTCCTGCATCCCACATCTCCAACCCCCAGCCGTGCTCTGTGAGAGCCTCTCTGCTCACAGAGAAGCAGAGCAGCTTCTGCTGGAGGAGCTGCAGCACTGATTTCTGCCCAGTTCCCGTGTGAAGGTGCAGGGAGCTGCTGCCACAGCTGCTCTTGTCCAGGCACGGCGCAGAGGTGCTGCAGTTCCCCGGGAGCTCACAGCCCTGCAGCAGTGATGCTGTGTTTCCCAGCACCGTGTGCTGGCAGCCCTGGGCTCACCGTGCTGCTCCGTGCTCCCTGCAGGGCCGGCCCAGTCGGGGATCCTGACGGACCGGGAGGTGGTCAGCCTGTTCCTGCACTTCACCGTGAACCCCAAACCGCGTGTGGAGTTCATCGACCGGCCGCGCTGCTGCCTGCGGGGGAAGGAGTGCAGCATCAGCCGATTCCAGCAGGTGGAGAGCCGCTGGGGGTACAGTGGGACTAGTGACAGGATAAGGTCAGCTTCTCTGCTCGTTCTGCTGCCGATAGATTCGTGTTTCCCGAGCTTTCCTCCCCGTGCCCGCAGGGCAGCGTGCCAGGCCCTGCTGCCGGCCGCGGGAGAGAGCGGCCGCGTTCTGCTGTGCGCGCAGCTGCAGGCGGCTGCTTGCTCCTGAGTGCCAGCGCTGCGTCCAATGCGCTGCTGGGGCGGCTCTCGTAGCCGCGGGGCAGCGAGGCGGTCGGGGCTCAGCGGTGCCGCTGGTTGCTGAGGGTCGGATGAGGGGCTTTGCCGCCCGCTTTGCTGCTGACGTCGCAGGGCCGGGCCGGGGGAGGAGCAGCCGCGTGCAGCCGGGCCGGGCTGCGGCTGGAGCGGGCGGGGGGCGGCCGGGAAGCCGCGGTGCTGTGGGGTGACGCTGGTTGCAGGGCAGGGAAGTGGCGCTGGTGCAGTCCTGCAGGCACGGCGCCTTTTCACCGCTGCCTCCGTGGGTACGCGGTGCAGCCGGGTGAGCCGTGCGTGGCGCTGCTGTGAGCCGTGGCCATACGGAGCCGGGCTGGGGCACAGCAGCGGGGCAGGCGTGCGTCCTTCCAGCCCAGCATTGCCCCCGTGCCCTTCCAGCACTGTGCTGGGCCGGGGGAAGCCTGCCGTGCTGCACTGAGGGCCCGGGCGTTCCTGCGCTCTGGAGCAATTTGCCCCGATTCCCCTTTCCTGTGTGCAGTGGGTTCTCGGAGCAGCTCTGTGAGAGCAGCACTGGGAGCTGCTGCTGGCACTGGGTCGTCCTGCAGCCCCCCAACTCAGTGCGCTGTGGGGCTCAGCGATGGGGCGGCGCGGCTCTGCTTCCCCCACGTGAAACCAAACGAACTCGGGGCCGTAGCACAGCCAGCTTTACGGGTCAGGATCTCAGCAGAGGATTCCAGCTGTGGGTGTGAGGTGTGGGGCGGCAGCAGGGGTGGCGTTGGCGACGTGTCGGCGCTGCAGCGGCGCTCTGAGCGAGGCTGTCTGCCCCTGCAGGTTCTCAGTGAACAAACGCATCTTCGTGGTTGGGTTTGGGTTGTACGGCTCCATTCACGGCCCCACAGACTACCAGGTGAACATCCAGGTATGTGGCTGGGATGTGGGGGGGGAGCACAGTGGGGTGCAGATCCCTGGGGGTGGGGATCCATGCCCGCGGCTGTCACACGGGTGGAAAGCCGTTGCGTCTCTTGCAGATCATCCACACGGACAGTAACACGGTGCTGGGGCAGAACGACACGGGCTTCAGCTGCGACGGCTCCTCCAACACGTTCCGTGTGATGTTCAAGGAGCCCGTGGAGGTTCTGCCCAACGTCAACTACACGGCGTGCGCTACTCTGAAGGTACCTGGGGGGGCGGTGGGGCTGAGGGGCCGCACGCAGGGCAGAGGGGGAGGGAGGGAGGGAGGGAGCGCGGAGCCACGCGCTGTGCCTGAGCCGCCCTGCGTCCCCGCAGGGCCCCGATTCTCACTACGGCACCAAAGGGCTGCGCAAGGTGATTCACGAGTCGCCCACCAGCGGCGCCAAGACCTGCTTCACCTTCTGCTACGCGGCCGGGAACAACAACGGCACTTCGGTGGAGGACGGACAGATCCCAGAGATCATCTTCTACACATAGTGCCGCCGCGGGGCCACGGCGCTGCGCCGCGCCCGCCTTCGGCTCGGAGCCCGACGGAGCCCAGAAGCGCCGCACCGAACCCCACCGCCGCAGGGCTGCGGCCGCCCCTTCGTCCCCCACCCGCGGCCGTGCTGAGCGTCGGCGCTTCTCCGCCTGCAGGGAGCGCGGAGGTGAGCGGCGCCGCTGGGGGGGGCTGAGCGCCGCGGGACGGACGATGGCGGTGGGGTCGGAGCGGAGCCGCGGAGCTCCGGTTCGGCGCTGCGGGGACGTCGCGGGAGCCCGCGGGGTGGGACGTTCCGCTGCGGTGATGCCCGGCAGCCGCAGCGCGGGCCGCGCTCGTGTTCTCCACGCGGGGCGGCTCAGTACGGCCAGTACCGAAATAATGCAACGAAAACCACGGCGGAAACAGCGAGCCCCACGGGTCCGCGCGTTATTCGGCGTGCGGGGCTGCGGGGCCCGGCCTCACGGCGCCTCTCCCCGCCGCCGCTCTGCGGTTTCTCTCCCCGTCGGCAGCCGTGAGCCGTTCCGCAGGGAGAGGAGCCCCGCGTGGCTCAGCGCCGGGCGGCTGCTGTACGTACAGGAATGGCGCTCGCTGTCGGACTTCGCCCCTTTCCAAAAGTGTGAGGCGCTGCAACGCGTCACCCCCGAGCGGAGCTGGGGCCGCCCCCCCCCCCCCCCCCCCCGGCGCCGCACTGAATGTATCCGCTGCTCTGTCCCGTGTTCGCGCTCTGCTTTGGGCCGCGGCGCTGCGATTTGTACATAGGAGATGAATAAAGACCTTCGGTTGTCTTTAGGCAGCTCCTGGGGAAGTGCTGCGAGCCCCAAACCCGGCGCCTTCCCTTCC